TTTCAGGCATTGTGTGGACATATGATCCTAGATAGGGCAAAAAGTGGAACTATCTCTTTCTCTCTTTTTAACTAGATTTGTTGAACTATAATGCACATACCTACAATTCTCCCATTAACATTTATGATTCACTGTTTTTTGGTTTATTCACAGAGTTATGCAACCATCACCATAGCACATATTTTGGAACATTTTCATTACCTCATAAAGAAATTTCATACACATTAGCAGTTATTTCCCATTTCTCCTCAACCTCCTCCCAACCCCAGCCCTAAGCAACTCCAATCTATTCTCCTGTTCTTTGTATTTGCCAATTCTGGGCATTTCATGTAAATGGACCAATATAATTTGTAGTCTTTGGCTCCTGGTTTATTTTACTTAGCATGGTGTCTTTAACCTTGATTATCACTTCTTTTTTGAATCCTGCCCCCTTTATGAATAAAACCTGTAGAGATTTCTCAGCAGATTTCCCTTTGAGACTCTTTGAACTAAGTGGAACTACATGATCAATTCCTAATCTAATGGCTGACGATGAAAGAGGACTTACCGTGATTACCTTAAATGGGGGTAAATCAACGAGGAGAGGGTTATCTGTCACAGGCCAGCAGAGGCTAGGAAGGAGCGAGCTGGATGCTGAACAAAATCTGGTCTATGATAGGCAGATGTGGGAAATGGACGTTGGAGAAGGAAATAAAATGTACACTACATCAGCACGTGACAAGGACAGCTAAGAATCAATGTTGAAAGAGTCTATACTCGCCCTCATGCTGTTTATTCCACTAGACTTCCTCTCTTCCTGACTTTTTGTTTTGAATCTGTAAACTTCAGATTCCAGGGCAGTGGGTTCACCAGCCACTCGGAATCCCACCCTTGCAATGGGTTCTACCACTGACCAGCTGCAGGGGATTCAGGAAGGTGGCAAAGGCAGGGAGAAGTAGCTGAGGGGTGAGATCACACAGTGTCCTCTTTCCAGGTCATCAGCAGACAACAATTTGTCATGTCATCATTGCTGTTCTGGCCTGGCTTTATATTGTTGATGAATACAATGGAAGAGGGTTTGCAAGTATGGGTGTGTGTGTGTGTGTGTGTGTGTGTGTGTGTGTGGTCATACTGAGTATTTACATTCTATTAATGGGAAAAAAATTGAAATGTAGAGCCACCTTCAATCTTGATTCTTTCACCCGTGGTTTACTCTCAAGTGGTCTCACCCTCTTCCACAGTATGGGGCAATCTAGTTGGGGTTTAAATACTCCGTCCTGTTGCCTATGCCACTCCCCTCAGTTCCTCTCATTCTACTTGTAGACAGAGGTTATTCCCCTCTAAGCATCTTCTGAACCAAGAGAATGTTACCTCAGAATCAGTCCTGAACAGATGGGAAGGAACTGGGTCTCAGGATGGATGGTCTGTCATATTGGGAAAATGCCACAGATATTGCTATGTAAGTGGAGGCTTCTCCAATACTGGGAGCTACTGGACATCTCCAATGTCCAATGTCACTTTCCTCCAATGTCCTCAAGGGAAAGTGAATTCATTTTATAGGCAATAGGCATTCCTATTTTATGTGTGTATGTTATTTCAGTACATAAAAAGTACCATATGTGGCAGTATGTTAGATGTGGAAAGAGATGCAAGTTCCTACCCTTAACAGTACAAGCTGCTAGGGATTACTTTTCCACTCCTTGGGGACCTCACTCAGCAGTTAGCAATACTGAAGAAAGAATATGGAAAGGAAGAGTGTAATCCAAGCCCATCTCTCTGGCTGTACACATCTGAATATCTCTTTGGCTTCACCTGTGTCACGAACATGCCATCCAGCCGTAGGGATTGTGCCTTAGGTTGCTCCAGGCATCTCCTGGCTGTGGTATCAGAACTGAGTCTCCTTCCCTGACATCACAGGTGTTCATTGTGGATCATAAGATGCTTTTCATGACTCTCCCTAACATGAAATGGGACTAGGGCTTCAGTCCTTGACTAACAGAAGTTCTCCCCCGCAGCCTAAGTCAGAATGTCAGGTACCTGTAGGGCCATTGGAAGCCATTCAAGGGTGGCTAGCTGTTGAGCTTGACTATTTCAGAATAATATACATGGTAGTAAAACAGAATTTGGAAAAGAGTAGATTTGGTATAGGTTTTCCAAACTCCAACCTACACATTTCAGAACTTGCAGAATTTTCTTCATCATTTTCAATACTTCTGTCCTTATAAAAACACACGATTAATGGCCAAAGTGAGTGATGTGAGCACTGTCATTCTTTAAGAAAGGGCCAGGTGAACCACAGTGTAACTATCAGGAAAGGCTCCATAGACAATGTTGGTGTCTTAGTTCATTTTCTGCTGCTGTAACAGAATATGACAGATGAAAAACAATGGAGGTTTATTTGGGTCATGTTTCTGGTGGCTGGGAAGTCCAGCATGGTGCTGGCATCTGGTGAGGGACACTGTGCCACATCATAACTGTCAGAAAGGTGGGCAAAAAGCACAAGATGAAAAGAGGAAAATTAGACCCAACTCACCTTCTGTATCAGGAACCCAGTCCCATGATGATGGCATTAATCCATCTATGAGGGCAGAGCTCTCAGGACCCAATTATTTCTTAAAGGTTTTATCTCTCACTACTGTCACAGTGGCAATGACATTTCAGCAAAAGTTTTGGACATTCAAATCATAGTATAAGGGCAGAAAGGAGGAATGGTGGTCACTACAGGACAGTACTAGAAATGGGAGTAGGACTGCACAGATGGCCCTACACAAACAAAATGAAAGGCAGAAATAATTTAATTTTAATACTGATTCACTCAAAGTGTTGAAAGAATATGCTTCAGGAAGCATATTCTAAGATAGTGTATACTAGTTTCCTGTGGCTACTGTAACAACTTACCACATACTCAGTAGTTTAAAATGACACAAATTTATTATCTCACAGTTTGGGAGATCAGAAATCTAAAATGGGTCTGTAGGGTTGTGTTCCTTCACGTTCTAAGGGAGAATCACAGGCAAACTTACTAACTTTAGAACATTCTGTGTAATTACATTCATAGCCATATGTGATGAAGATGTTATAGGAATACTGGATTCTGGTCTTTAGAAGTCCCAAGAACATAAATGAGTATAGTACTCCCTGTGCACATATACTCAAAAACAAAAATAAAGTCATCCCTAACAAAAAGCATATGTGTGTATACATTTATATGGTCATAAATGTATGTGGATTTATTTTTTTTAAGTCTCTGTCAATATTTTTCTGATTGGAAGGTTCTTCAACACTGAGCTTTTCTCATTGTCAGGAACCACAGGTTTGTTTCTTTTCTTTCTTTCTTTCTTTTTTTTTTTTCTGAAGCCCTAAAACATATGCTTAGTCTACCTATTGAACCATCTAGTAGTAAGTCCTGGGTATCTTTGAGTTCTGCAACTCACTTCTAAACACAAACATTTGAGACAGTTGGAAAAGAAGAGTTGAAAACAACTGTCTCCCATTCCCACAATACCATAACATTTTAGAATTAGAAGACTGTTTTTAAACTGATGATCTTCTCAGTCCCCTAAATTACAGATGGAAACTTAGAAGAGAGGGTTAGGAAGTCCACAGTGTGACCCCATTAGCATGAGAGTGTGAAACATGCTTTAATATACCGTAATCTCATTGGATGTACTCATTTCCTGCAAGCATTTGTGGGGGATGAGGCAGGATGCATGCCTACACTATGAAATGGGAGATTAGGCTGCAAACTCTCTGGGGACAGGGACCATGAAGGATGATGAAGATGAAGACATACCTGCAACAGAGCCTACCACAAACCACACAGAGAATGCTGTTTAATTAATTTTGAAAGTAAGAGGGGGAGAAAGCAATCTATGTTGCTGGCTTGGTCTCCACATCAATGTGAAGGCTGAGGACAGGGAATTTAAATTGCCTGTTTTTGGTCAGGACTGCTGCTGGCTTCTCTGTGGACACTCTCTTGTCTCTAGAACTCAGCGCACTATGGCCAAGAGAGAAACATAAGCCAGATTCCAAGACCCCTGAGTGAATTCCTGGTGGAGAGAGATGGTCAGGATACTTTATAGCTTTGCAAATCTGTGCCCTGCTTTTAAGACAATGAGGGAGGGCAGGGAGCTCTCCTGCATCTGTGTCTTAATTGTCTTCAGCTCAGCAATCCACGTATTTGGGAGAGGCACACTCTGCTCTTCGTGGCCTGTCTCGCCCACCTCCCCAGCTCATTTGCTGTCCTTTCTCCCTAACTCTCTGCATCACCCACACTGGCCTTTAACATGCCAAGCAGCCAGGGCCTTAGCAGCACTGGCTGTTCCCTCCGCCAGGCCCTCCCTTTTCTGGACCTTGGCTTGGCCTGCTTCTGGGGGCCATCTGGGTCTCAGACCTTTTGTCCCTCCTTTCTCTGGGAGGCCTCAGATGCCTAACAGCATTGTCCCCCCCCCCCCAACATGCCACTCCTTTTTATCACCCAGTTTCGTTTTCTTCCTGGAGCTGATCACTATTTAAAATTGCCTTAATCATTCAGTTAATTTATTTTCTGATTTAGTTCCAGGTCCAAAGACAGTGTTTGCCTTGGTGAACTTTCCAAAAAAATAGTGTTGGGCGATAGACAGACGGATGAAAGAATGAATAAACGAGTGCAGACGACGCAGGCATCTCCAGGGCAGCTGTCCCGCCACCCTGGCCGCCTCGCGTGGCAGAGCCCGGCCCCGCCCGCCCGCCCGCTCCTCCAGCCCCGCGGCGGAACCCGAGGGCGGCGGCAGCGGTTTCCCTCCGACGAGCGGGGGAGTCTTGAGAGAGCACACAGGAAAGGCAGGGCGGTGAGCGGGCCGGGCGGTGGTGAGTGCCGGAGTCGCGCGCGGGGCGCGGGCCGGGCGGCTAGCAGGGCCCGGGCGTGGGCGGAGCCGCCGCGGCGCGCGGGGCACGGGGCGGCTGGGCCTGGCCTGGGCCCGCGGCGCGGGCTGCGGCTCGCGGGCAGCTGGCCGCGCGCTGGCGGGTGGCAGCCTGGGCCGGGCCGGCGCGGCGCGCGAATCATGGTCACCGCGGGAGTCGGGTGTCCTGCGTTGGAGTCCTAGAGCTGTCGCTAGCCTGGGGACCCTCACTCGCTCCTCCCCTGGGGCTCCGGAGTGCTCCTTTGCAAAAAGGGGCCAGTGGTGTCCGAGCCTTGAAGGGGTGGATGGCTTCATTCATTCGGGCGCTTGGCGGGGTTGGGTGCTGCGGATGGAGAGGACCTGCCCGGGAGGGGTTCCAGGTGTCCTGAGCAACCCCGACCTGTCACGTCAAGGGGGTTGAATACTTGGGAATTCTTTAGGGAGGAAAATGGGCTCTTAAGATAAAATATGTTAATTTGAACGTATAAATTTTAGAGTTGGAGATGAGGGAATGGCAATTCTAGGTAAATACAAAGGACTGTGCATTGTTAACTAACGCATTGCATATTGTGATAAAGTTTATTCCAACTTACAAATGACAGTCTCCACCTATCACATGTGGTCTTCACTGCTAAACCAGGTAAGCAGAGCAGATGAGGTATTCTTATTTTACTGGTCAAGAAATGGAAACAAGTTAAATGACTTACCCAGGCTCTCACCACTAGTAACTGACAAAGCCAGGACAAGAATCTAGTTTTAGGCCCATGAGCCAGTCCTCTTTCCACCCTAGGATAGGTGCATATTTTCACATTACTTGGATAACACACAAATTAATTCATTTGTGACAAAAAGGGAATTCCACTGGGGGTAGGGATAACCTTTAAACAGCCTTACTGACTCTTAGATTGTTTTTTAATTTATTGGTATTCCCCTTGGGTGGTTTTACTCTTCTCAAACTTGACCTCCATAGTGATGAATGCCAAATCTGTTGTATCTTTTGCCCAGTTTCCCCTAGCTTCATGCTGCTATCTCTAGACATCCACTGGATATTTTCTTTTTCTAAATATATGTTTTTTTTTTTAAGTTGTTGATGGACCTTTATGTTGTTTATTTATATGTGGTACTGAGAATTGATCCCAGTGCCCCACACAATGCTAAGCAAGTGCTCTACCAAGGAGCCACAACCCCAGCCCCATCCACTGCATATTTTCACTTGGATGCTCCACAGGCATGTCAATTTCAGTGTCTCTTAAGCTGCATACTACCTTTCTCCATAAACCTAGCCAGTTGCCTAAGCACAAAAACTGGCTTGGTTCCTCCTCTCTCACCTCCCACAATCAGTTGATCACCAAGTGCTAACAATTTATATTTTCTGAAAACCTCTGAATCCATTCTTGTGCTATCTTTTTTGTGCCTTCCTTCCTTTAGGTGCCTAGGGATTATGGCAAAAACTTCCTAATGGCTCTGTTTAGCTTTAATTTCAGTGTCTACCAGTCTGTTTTACATTCTGCGACTACAGTTGAAATATGATCATATCGCTCACCTGCTTAAATTCCATGAAATTGTTTTCATTGTCTTCAACTCCAAAGTCCTTAGTGTGGATTCAAGGTCTTTTCTAACCCTCCCTACTCCCACCATCCTTTCTCTCTAAACAACTGTTTCTCAAAGTCCGGTATGGTGTTGACCTTATAGTTATGGGCATACTATTTAAAAATGAAGGTGACAGTGGGTGTGGTGGTGTACACCTGTAATTCCAGCCTCTCCGAAGGTTGAGACAGGAGGTTCGCAAGTTCAAAGCCAACCTCACAAAAGTGAGGCACTAAGCAACTCAGTGAGACCCTGTCTCTAAATAAAATACAAAATAGGGCTAGGGATGTGGCTCCCTGGTTGAGTGCCCATGTGTTCAATGCAAAACAAAATATGAAGGTGTCGGCTAAATTTCAGAATAAATGAAGATCACGGGGAAGGGAGGTAAAGCTCAAGAATAGGTGTTTTTAACAGTTCTGTGCATTTTAACAGACCCTACACTAAAAGTTGAGATCTCTATTCAGGATGCTGTACCATGTTTACCCTGTTCTTTATTCATACCAGATTCTTGATGGGGCTCAAGACACACCACCCCATAATATGGCACTTGGCATTTGAAGAAACAGCAGAAGCAGGAAGGTCATTCTCTGACTACCTCCTGCCCTTCTCCCCTGAAGCAGATCATGAAAGACTTCTTTGATTTTCCTCTTTATTAGACCCTCCTGTGAGATGTGTTCATCATATACATAGAGGAAAAGAATTCTCTTATTTCTGAAGACACAGGGACACAGAAGAATCTGAACAAACAGGCCTCACTATGTTCCACCTATCATTATCATTAGAACATTATCCTTTATCAAATTGTACTTCTGCACAACTATCTACTCTTCATCAAAGTTAGCATAAAAATACATGGGCCTCCCTATTTGGGTCTTGTTTCTGAAAGCTTCTGTGTCACATAAAAGTTACATTAAATAATTTTGTTTGCTTTTCTCTTTATCTTATAGGGATCTCAGGCATGAAACTAGCAATGGCTGAAAAAGAAATTTCTTCTTCCCTATGCTATCTACCTGGGTTTCTCTGAACATAACTTGCTGCCTTTTCACTTTTATACACTGTCATAATTCAGATTGCTGTAACAAAAATACCATAGACTGGGGTGGCATAAACAAATTTAGTTCTCACATTTCTGGAGGCTAGAAATCTGAAACCAAGAGGCTAGCATGTTTAGGTACCTGCTGAGGGCCCTCTTCTTGTGTCCTAATATGATGGGGTGGAGGGATCTCTCTGGTTTCTTATGGGCTCACTAATCTCATTCATTGGGTGCCACCCTCATGACCTAGTTACCTCTCAAAGGCCCTATGTCCTAATAGCATATTGTTGGGGATTAGGACTTCAATACAGGCATTTTAGAGGGTCACAAACATTTAGATCATAGCATTCACATAGCACCCTCTTGACTTTGGTAACGATGCCACATTCTTCTATACTCAGGAAAGACTTTACTGACCCTGCATGGCTCCCTTGTGAGAACCAGTTCAAGTTAGCTCCCTTCTTGTAGACTCGCACTGAGCCTTGCTCACCCCTCAACATTTATCCCACTGTATTGCAACCATAATTGTGTAGGAATCAAGGGCTTATTAGTTGTCAGTCCTTGAGAATGGGTCTGACTTTTCTCTGCCCTAGCTCCTAGTACAGAGCCTGGCACATATGTTGTTTATTAAAGTCCTCTTAAGTGAAGGAGTGGTGTAGGGCAGTATGGAGAGGAAGGAGCATACCACTCAGTAGGCCTTCAGGGCCCTTTCTCCAGCAGCCTGGGTGTTGTGCAGGACTCATAGCAAGGTGGGCTCCCTTATGCTGCCTTCGTTTCTGAATGCAGTAAGGATATTTTTTCTTGTGAGGAATTTTAATGAAAGGCAGATAGAGAATAATAAAAGAACTGGTCTCTTCAATGGAAGTGGCTTTTTCCTCCTCTGGTCTATTTACCTCACTCATCCATAGTAATAAAATTTTTTGTTTAAATTTTTAATCTCTGTAGAAAATAATTTATATTTATTTTAAGAAAACTTAGCATATATATTACAATTTTAAAAATAAGCATCACCCACCATCCCACAACATAGAGGAAATTACTTAAAAAGTTGTTTTTATTTATTTGTATTGATATTTTTTTCAATTTATGTTCATATTTGTACATCGTGGGATAATACTAATTATATATGGCTTTTATCCTGTTAATTTTACTTATGTTATATTTTGAGTTTTTCCACATCTGTAAAAATTCCCAGTAAAAAAGGAATATTTGATACCACATGACTTATTCAATAGATATTTCTTAAATAGCAATTATGTGACTTATTCAATAGATATTTCTTAAATAGTCATTATGTGCCAGATCTTACTTAAGGCATAGAATTCAGCAGTAACTAGAACAAAGTCCTTACTCTCATGGGGTTTATATTCCAATGGGATAAACTGATTAACAAATTAACAAATAAACTTAAGTATCATCAAATGATGGTGCCATGGAGAAAACAAATAGAATATGTCTGTATTTATCACTTTGAATTTTAGTAAAGTTGTGCTATTTAACTTTCCTTATAGGAATATATGAGAATGTCTACCTAACTGTATTTTGTCATCAGTGAATATAATTTAAAATTTTTTATTAATTTTATAGATAAATAATGATACTGCTTTGTGATTTGCATATCTTTGATTACCGAGTAAGTTGGGCATTTCTTCATAGCCCTGTGCATTTCCTCTCTGCTTATTTTCCTATTGGAGGCCTGGTGTGCTCCTCTGTTTTGAATAAACTCTTACGAACATATTGTTGAATTCTTTATGTCTAATGGGCAAACACTCTTAAACAGTCATATAATGAGACTTTAAGAAGACAGAAAAGGAGGCTGGGGTTATGGCTCAGTGGTAGAGTACTCGCCTTGCACATGCAAGGCCCTGGGTTCAATCCTCAGCACCACATAAAAATAAATAAATGAATAAAATAAAGGTATTATGTCCAACTACAACTATAAAAAATAAAGAATACAGAAAAGCCAGGAGAAGTCTGGTAATCCTCTTCCTTTCTTCATGCCCCTCCTTCTTCCTTCTCCTACAATGAGGAACTAGTGATCTGAGAAAGAAGAATGTAGTTCAGGTAGAAAGATGTGAAGGAAGAAGAAAATAAATGTTGGTGAGTGAGAAGATGATGATGATGAAACTAGAAGGGAAAAGATGAGAAGAGGCAGAGCAGAAGTGATAAGGAGGAAACCCAGCAGGGGAAGAGGAAGAAGAGAGAGGGTGAAGGAATGGAAAGGAGCAATCAGATGCTACATGATTACTTTGATACTTATATTTTTATTTTCCTGTTTCTATTCATCTAGCAGATCTCCAGGAGAAGATGACTGTCTTCTTTAAAACACTCCGAAATCATTGGAAGAAAACCACAGCTGGGCTCTGCCTGCTGACATGGGGAGGCCACTGGCTCTACGGGAAACACTGGTAAATATCAACAGTCCCACCCCACCTGCTCTCCAACCGCAAAACAGCCTTAAAGAGCCTCAGGTTGAAGTTTTACCCAGCAGTTCTTTTCCCTCTAAAATACTGTGATGTAAAAACAATCAAACAAAAAAAACTCATTCAAGCCAAAAGCCAAGACAAAGATTTCTTATTGTAACCAGTTCTATACATTTAAAATTATATGGAGCTATTACACTCATACTTCAATAGATATGGATTATTCTAATGAGATTGGAAGTGAAGCTGTTTTTATTCATTTTATTTGTAGTTGAAGAAATTGAGGCCTATCACACAAAAAGTAAAGTCCTCTTTCAAGTTCAGACAGGAATTAGGACACATATAATGTGTCCCTACCCCAGCCCTCCACTTATTTTTAACTTGTGAAAAATATCTCCTTAGAATTTTGTTCCTGCCCTTTCTTAGTATGATCTCTTGATCTGCCATCACTCTGGTTGCTAGATACTTACCAGCTGTTTCTTCCATCCCCTCTGACCATCTCCATCTATCCCATTAACCTAGGTCAATTTCAATGAAACAAAAACTTTCAAGCCTTTTGTTTGAATAAGGAATTCAGTGCAATTATGTATATTTATTAGCCTTGGAGGGAGAAGAATGTGCTGGAGCTCCTTTTCCCTTTTAATATGGAAATAAGATTTAAATCAACAGAGAATTTTTAATTTTTTTTATATAAAAAATCATAGAAACTATTAAACAGCCAATGGGTCGCAGTCTTTTGCGAATTAAGTGCTACATCTTAAGTCTATAGCAACACTGAATCTATGTAAAACAGAAAACAGAATGGCTGTGCTTTGTATTGTAGGTTTCCTCATTGGAAGAGAGTCACATGGATACTTTTGTGATTGTTTTTAATTTACCACTGTCAGAAATGACTTTATGATGTAGCATGGTATCTTCTGTTCTGCAACTGTATATGTTGGAGCATCTTCTTTTCTAAGTATTATCAAGACTAAGCATTTAAATTTCATTATTTAGCATCTAATGAAATAAGCAGACCTCAGAAATTTATATCAGAAAAGACAGTAATATCAGAAAAGACAAGGACAGCATAGATTTTTTAATAAATAAAATATGATACATGTAGTATTTGGCTTCTCCTCCCTTTTTTAACTAACATGAGCTTCTGTTAAAGGAGGCTTCTGTACCTCCCTTGCAGGAACTCTGAGCTAGACCATGATCAACTGGGTCAGAGGATGCTCCCACTCACTGGGAGTTCCTGCTGCTTCCTTGACTAGGTGAAATTTAAGTAGCTGTGACCCCTGTTCAGGATGTCTTCGGAGGTACTGTAATATTTTTTTGCCCTTAGAGTCTTGAGACTTTGAAAAGGGCCATTAGGTCTCTGGCACCAGAAGAGGCCTCACTCTAAATTTGTTCTGAAATAGCTTGAATTTGCTGTGGTAGGAGCCAGTCATTTTGCTCTGTCTCCACCTTTGACATTCAAGGTTGCCATCCCAAATGCAAAACCCCTGTTGTCCTTTTGTGTTTCTTTTTCTCAAACTTTTCTTCTGCCTGCTTTGATACTGTTTAGCTCCATCTATTTATTTTTATTTATTTTAATATTTTTTAGTTGTAGATGGATACAATATCTTTCTTTCTTTCTTTCCTTATTTATTTATTTATTATGTGGTTTTGGGGATCGAACCCAGTGCCTGTTGCATGCTAGGCAAGCGCTTTGCCACTGAGCCACTACCCCAGCCCTCCACTTATTTTTAACTTGTGAAAAACACATAAACTTGACCACATTAACCATTTGTGAATGTACAGGTTCTTAGTGTTAAGTATATTCATATTTCTAGGATTCCTAGAACTTCTTTGTTTTACAAAACTGATACTCAGTACTCACTGAACATCAATTCTTCATTCCTCCCCTCCCTGGAGCTCCTGGAGCTACCATTGTGCTTTCTGTTTCTATGAATTTGATTCTTTAGGTCCCTTGTATGTGTGGAATTATATATATATATATATATATATATATATATATATATATTTTTTTTTTTTTTTTTGTGACTGGCCTATTTTACTTAGCAAAATGCTCTCAAGTTTCTTCCATCTTATAACATGTGGCATGATGATTTCCTTCTCTTAAAAGCTGACTAGTTAATATTCTATTGCATATATTTACTACATTTTCTTTATCCATGTATTTGTCATTGGACATTTGGTTTCCTTCTCTCTCTTGCCTACTATGAATCATACTGCAGTGAACTTGGGTGTACAGATAGCTCTTTAAGATTCTGCTTGCCATTCTTTCAGATACATACCCAGAAGTGGGATTGCTGGATCATATGGTGATTCTATTTTTAATTTTTTAAGGAACCTTTCTACTGTTTCCCATAGCAGCAGCATCATTTTACAATTCCACTAACAGTGCACAAGGGTTCCAATTTCTCCCTCTCCATCCTCACTAACATGCTATTTTGGTTTTTTAAATAGTAATGCCATTCTAATGGTAGTGAGGTGATATGTCATTGTGGTTTTGATTTGCTTTGTCTATAGATTAATGATATGAAATATTTTTTCATATATCTTTCAGCCATTTCTATGTCATCTTTGGAGAAATGTCTGTTCAAGTCCTTTGCCCTCTTTTTAGTTAGGCTATTTATTTATTTTGAACTGTAGAAATTCTTTATATTTCCTGGATATTAACTCCTTAGGAGATATAGAATTTGCAAATATTTTTTACGGCTTTGAGCATTTTTTTTTTTTTTTTTTGGCAGTACTGAGGATTGAACCTAGGGTTTTGTCCATACTAGGCAGTTGCTCTACCCCGACCTACATCCCAGCTCTTTGTTACCTTTCTGTATATCTTTGTTTCAGTGTGCTGACTTTGTTCTTTGGTGCATAGAAGTTTTAAAGCTTGATATAGTGCCATTGTCTACTTTTGCTATTGTTGCCTTTTTTTTTTTTTTTTTCCCCTGTGCTTTGATATCATAGCCAAGAAATTGCCAAATCCATCGTCCTCTATTCCTGGAACTTTGACCACTGCTGTGCCTTCTTTCACACTCCCTACCTGGCACTGGTTGAATGCTAAACCTGAACATCACTTACTCCCATTCCACTTCTGAAATATGGAACTTTGGCATCCTAGTCCCATTATAGCCTCTATTACTCCAGTTTTCTTATTCTCTTACTCCCATTCTTCAGTGTTATCAAAACTTTGTGGCCTTCCTGGTTTCTTTCTAATCACTTTTCCCTACTTTTCACTCTTCTGGATTCCTCAATCCAACACATCATATACACTTCTTAACTCCATTTTCACCTTTCCTGTCTGGCCTTTTCCATCTCCCAATTCCTTTCTCTCATCATAGCTGAACTTCTTGTTTACTTCCTACTCATGATACATCCTATTCAGTCTTCATTAGAATTATTTTCATCAGTTTTATCTCTTGTCCTTTTTAGACACTACTGACTATTCTTGAAACACTATTTCCCCCTTGCCTCTGACTCCCTAACTTTTGTCTCCATAAAGCTCTTTTCTGAGCTTCTGACCCGATCATAACTTCAATTGCTTAATGTCTCCTTGGGTGCTTCACAGGTGCCTCAAATTCAACAAACTTAAACAAACAAACAAATAAACAACAAAAAAAATTAAATTAAAAAAAAGCTTTCCTACCAAACCTATTTCTTCTTAGTAATTGGTATCACTCACCATCCATCTAGTTTCCCAAACTAGGAATTTGGACATCACACTCCACTTCTTATCCTCATTCCCCACATCTGGCTTATGTATTTTAGGTGGTTTTGCACCTCAGATCTCTTAACATGTTCACTTTCTTCTGTCTGACTTCATTGTCACCACCCTCATCCACACTACCATCCATTTTCTCACCTGGATCCTTACTAGCCCCTCGCTGTTCACCTTGTACTACTCTTGCCTGTTTCTAAGGTTTTTGACACACCATTGCCAGAGTGTTCTTTTACAAGTGAAGATTACTGTTGCTTTTAGGGTCAAGTCCACTATTCTTACCAGCTGTACATGAGTTTGCCCCATCTTCAGCCTTGCCTTACTCTACAGTTAGCATGTGGAACTTGCAGGTCTTCTGAAATGAATTGTTCTTTCTGTTTYAGGGTTCCTTGGAGGGTTTTCTGCATGTTATTCCCTCTGGGCACACTCACTTCTTTCCAAGGCAACTACCATTTCTTCAGGTCTCAAATGTTGTTATTTCTCAGAGGAAGTCTTCTCTGTCCCTTCAATTTTGAGTTAGGCAATCTTTCTATATTTTCTCCATGGCTGTGAACTCCTGTATAAAAGTCAGTTTTTTCCTGTTGGTTTCTTCTCTTATGTTATAAAACTCTAAAGGTAGGGGCCCTGTTTGTTTTGCTCATGTTGTCCCTAAGGCCCAGCACATAGAAGGTACTTGACACATTGTGTTTGTGGAAGAGGGAACACACAAAAGAATGAAGGGATGAGGGCTCAGGCAGGATATCACTTGTGTTGATTGTCCACTTCCCAAACCTTCATCCTGAAGGAAATAATGCACTAAATCTGTAGTCAGATTTCTCTTTCATTTTCCACCAAATTTATTTTAAAATATTCATTAATTCCTCCATTTCCTGTTCTATTTTCTCTTTGCTCATTCTTAGGCAACTTAACTCTGACTTTAAAGAGAAAATTAAAAACACTGGGCATGTATCCCTGCATGCATGCTTCTGTTCTCTTTCTGTCTCAGTGGATGGATTTGCCTCCTGCCCAGCCCCTCTAAGCTCTCAGTCACATCCCATCCTTACCCTGTTGTCTTCACTTATATCGTCTTCACTTTCTGCTTCTTTCTCCTGTTTGTCAGAACCCTTCCAGGCTTGAATGTGTCTTTGCACATTGGGGTATTCCCATTCCTTTACCATCCACCCCCTTCCCTTTATGCCATTTTTGAATATGTACCTCACACTGGCAATCTCTACGTCCATTTCAGAATAAGCTTAATAAAATTTGGTATATAGTCTGTCATTTGATTGTTCATGCTCTT